GGTAGGAAAAAAATTGGTGAGGGGCTGTATACTTGACCCCTCCCTAAACCCCCAGACTCTTCTGTGTCCATTCAAAAAAAAAAAAAAAAGGTGGACCAAAGGAATGTGGAAAGGATAAATAATATAGTTAATCTAATATTCAAGCATAATTTAACTGATGATTAGATTATTTCACAACAACTGGAGCAACGCATAGACAGGAAGCTGCTGGAAATTCAGAAGAGGTCGAGGAACAAGGGATAGCATTGTTGATGTTCGATAGATCTTGAAAGAAAAAAGGGGACACAAGAAAAATGTTTGCTTGTGTTTCATTAATTATGCAAAGGTATTGAACTGTGTGGATCATAATAAATTATGGATAGTTTTATGAAAATGGAAATTCCTGAACAATTACGTTCCTGCGACATCTGAATATGGGGAGAGAAGCCATTACTTAAAAGGAACAAAGGGATAGCTCACGGTTTAATACCAGAAAAAGTGCATGTCAGGATTATATCCTTCCATTTATCTGTTAGTATACTGAACAAAGACTCTGAGATGTTGGACTATGTGAAGAACATGACATTAGGATTGAAGTAAATTTTGTAACACCCTGCGCTATGCAGATGACACAGTATTGCTTGCAGAAAGTGAAGCAGATTTGAAGCACTTTCTACAGAAGATAAATGATGATAGCTTTTGGTGTAGATTACACCTCAACATAAAATAACCAAAATCCTCATACAGAAAGACAATTGGGTTAATAAGCAGCATTATGATCAAAGGAGAAAAGATTGGTGTCAGGGATTTCATTTGACTTGAATTTACAATCAACAACCATCCATTGCATTAGGCAAATCTGCTGAAACGGAGCTCTTTAAAGTGCTAGGGAGCAATACTACTTCAAAGACCAAAGTGCACCTGAGTCAAGCCATAATATCACATGGTATTGCTTCATATGCATGAGAGATTTGGACAATGACTAATTGATGTCTTTAAATTGTTATTTTGGTGCAGAATACAGAATATGCCATGGATTGTGAAAAGAATAAACATGCCTTGGAAGATGCTTTCACAATGTGTTCCTTGAAAATAAAAAGGGAAAGACTTCACCTCACATACTTTGGGGGGCATGTTATCAGCAAAGGCTAGTCCCCAGAGAAAGATATCATGCTTAAAAAGGTAGACAGCTAAAATTCAATGGAAAAGAATGACACAGTGGCTTCAACACAGGGCACAGCAGAGATTGTGAGGACAGTGTGGGACCAAGCAGGGTTTTGTTCTGTTCTATTCTGTTGTTGTTGCTGTTATGAGACCCTATGAACAATAGCTTTGAACCTTGTCCTATCCTGAGCCAATCTCACTTTCTCCATCACACCTGTCCCTATTCCCCTAGTCATTGTGTTAATGCATCTCATCCAGGGTCTTCCTCTCCTGCACCGTTCCATCCCCCTGCCAAGCATGATTTCCTTCTCCAAGGGCCAGTCCCTCTAGGAACATGCCCAAAATGTGTGAGAGATAGAGCTTCAAAATCTTTGCTTCCAGAAAGCAACTTGGTTTCATCCTCTCTAGGACAGACCTGTTTGTTTTCTTGGCAGTCCATGATATAATCAATATGGTGTTCCATTATATAAGGTCAGTATGAGTCAGAACTGACTCAATAGTACCTACAAGAACAACAAGTTTTTTATTTTGTCCATGCCATTCAGGGAGGAGTGATTTTGAAACAGGAGTCCAGAGACCAGAGGGAGTTGTCAGAATCTTAAGCTTTGTGAAGTTATGAATTTGGAGGACTTTGAACTTGCATATATCATTTCAGTAAACTGTACCTAGAAATCTTAGTTGTATCTTCAGAGAAACAGAGGGATTCTCTCAGTGTGTACACCCTCCTGAAGCCCTGAAACAAAAGGCAAAGTTAGAAAACTTGGCCTGGACAAAGTATGAAAAGAGGAAAAGAGACGATAGCTTGCCCAAGAAACATATTTAATGTGAAGGTAGGATCACTTTGTAGCTCAACTCAGAATCAATTTTGTATGTGTAGGTGGGACAAGAGGAGATTAGGAGAATATACTCGCCATAAAACACTCTTGATGTGTCTATGCACACAGGGCTCAGAGTCCTACCTCTGTGTCCTGTGTGTCACATTCATAAAAGCTGGGACCTTGCAGGTTCAAGACAGCATCACATTCAAGGAAACAATGCAGCAGATGAAACAAATGCAAAGGATATTCCCTTGTTTACTTGCATTTCTCAAACATCATTTATGGAAATGGAGTTTATCCCACACAGCAATACTCACTAAAATCACTTTCTCATTTTATTCTGTCCTCAATCATCTATAACTGCCTCCTCCAAACCCCGGCTCTTTCTGTTTACAATTATCTCTGACTTTCTTCCTTTTTTCTCTCCCCTCCTCTCCCTTCTACTTCTTCTCACTCCCCTCCTCTCCTCTTCGTTCTATTATACAGACCAGTCTAAGGCTCTTAACATCTACTTCAGGTCTTTTGCTTCAAGTAGGAAGAATAAACATGGATACTACACGTATTAATAAACCTCATCACCACCAATAATGGTATGTGCACAGTTGGTGGGACTGTGTTTTAAACTTTTTCCCAGGCATCTACATCTTGATCATGTCCTTATTTAGAAGGATTTAGTGGTGACTTTATAAGTAGTTGTGGGGAGCTGCTACTTTCATCATCAATGCTGAGGGGGTTAAAGAATTGAAAAAGGATTGATTCATTTTAAAAGTGAATTATAATAATGTTAGCCAATAATATTCAATGAAACTAACTTACAACCACATCACAGAACCCAATTTTGGACTGTGAATTTGACAATGATAGATATCTGTTTGCTAATTTTATATGGAATGAAAGCAGGGACAGATTACTCAATAATAATGTGAATTTAACCATACCCCCGATGTTGTGAAAAATGAATGAAACTATTCATGACAGACCAGGAAGAAAGCCCCAGTAACTGCATGTTTGCCTTGCTTGCTGAGTACTGCACCTGAAAAGAGACATAAATAAGTAATAAATAATAATAAGGAAAACTGTGCTGTGAGACTGTGAGAGAAAATGATGCCAGCCATACTAAGAATTTTTTTATGTTGTTGTTGTTGTTGTTATGTGCCGTCAAGTCGCTTGTGACTCATAGTGACCCTATGCACAACAGCCCTAAACTCTGCTCTGTCTTGTGCCAATCGCACTGTCTC